CGGTGGACTGCCGACCATATTTCGTCGACAGTGGCGCGCCAGGTAGGGGGCCCCTTTAGGGGTTGTGCGCGCTGATCTTCCGGCGAATCAGATGGGAATCTTCAATATCAACGACATGTTCTCGACGACGACCTCGTACATCAAGTCGCTCACATAAGCTGTCATTGTCGGGAAGGTGCTCCTACACAAGCAGGCATACGAGCATCGTTCGATCTCGGGCGGTTGTACGGGAGTTGCTTCATCATGTTCACGAGTCAGATTGGACTCACAACGTCAAAACACAACGACCACGTCAAAAAGCTGCATAACGGATCCAATCTACATCACCATGCATGCTTAATGACGACGCAAGAAGCTTGTTGGGACGTTTATACGTACATGATTTTGTACCTTTGCATCAACCTACAAGCAGCGACATGTCACGTCTCTGTGCACGACTCTTTGTGCTCGGGCGACTACACAGGGATCGACTCCGACCAGCTCCGACTACACCCGCTCGACTACGGCGACGCTGCGCACCCACCACATCGACCAGACCACGTCGACCACGTCCCGAGCGGCTCGCAATGATGATCGTCACGAAGAACGGCGCTATGACAACCGCAACCACCGTCATAATTGGCCGAAAAGTACGAGGATCGGACAACTTTATCGCCATCGACCAGATTTCTATCCAAAGATAAGTACACTTCTAATATTTATATTTAATATAATTTTCATTACGACGTTTCTCCACAACGTCCTTGTTATGATTATTCTTCAAATAACGTTTGTCCATGTATACCATCTTAAATATAACATACAACTATACTTAATGCAAATCCTCGACCAGTCATGTTGACGCTCGATGCCTCCAGAGACGGCCTTGTCTCCGGCTCCTCCCTACACGTGCACGAGCGTCTGCCCTTTGCGTTATGGGTGGTCGGCAGCGGCTCCTTAGCGACGCCTGTTCCTTCTACACGTGCACGGGCTCCGCGCTCAACGTTATGGACTATGGGCTAGCTAGGGCTGGAGACTCAGCTACACACTAACTGGTCGGACAGTTTATATTAAGTATAAACACAAACTTCACATTAACACTGATGTTTACAAAGCACCAACTGCTTTATCACATCATGCTCATTTGCAAATGACTGCTGAGCGTCATACGCTATTTCTTCACCGCTGATTTTTTCTCCATAATTTATTACTTTGTACATCATGTACTACCATTCTACATATTTATATTGCAGGAATTTCGAGCTACGCATGGGAACTTCGTCGCTCGCTCCTCGACCTGTGCTCGGGGACTGCCTCGACCACTCTCCAACCACAGCTCGGGGACTTCGTCGCTCGCTCCTCGATCTGGGGACTGCCTCGACCACTCTCCGACCACAGCTCGGGGACTTCGCTGCTCGCCCCTCGACCTGTGCTTGGGGACTGCCTCGACCACTCTCCGACCACAGCTCGGGGACTTCGCCGCTCGCCCCTCGACTTGTGCTCGGGGACTGCCTCGACAACTCTCCGACCACAGCTCGGGGACTTTGCGTCTCAACTACATACGACTGGCAACTCGCATACAATTGGGATATTCTTTCTCGTTTAGACCTTGCTACAAGGCTCATACCTAGCCTTCCAGCAAGCTCGGGGACTACATCGGTACGATGCACTTGCCGGTGCATCTTGTATCGCCTGTACGACGATTGGATTCTCAACTTAACTGAGAATTCTTTTTAGACTCTGGCACCACGTGCCTACGTCACCACTACCAGGCTCGGGAACTAAGTGGGCACACTTCACCTTACGGTGAATGTGCTCGCTCTGATAGTTCAAACACCTCCGATTCTATAAGGACGACAGTGTCTCTTTTTGACTCAGAGTCAAAGTGGGCACACTTCGGGGGAAATATTTTTCAAATTTTATCTTGAGCCCCTTACATCCTTCTGTTATGCTCAAGACAACGCTACTCGAAGGATACAAGACGCTCGGGGACTAGCTGTGAGGGAATAGACCCACTATACCCTCATGGGTATACATGGGCCACACCACCGAAAGTGGCCCAGCCCGCAAAGTGAAGACGTGCGGAGCACGACATTATATTGTAATTGTACCAAATTGGATACTTTACTTGTAACCTTGTCCGTTCGAAATATATAAGGAGGGGCAAGGGTCCCCTAGAGGACAGATCATGAAGATCATAAAGATCATACACTTCTCACCCTAGATCAATACAAATAACAGAGCACATGACGTAGGGTTTTACGCCACACTGGCGGCCTGAACTTGTATAAATCTTGTGTCTTGTGTCTCTGTAACCATCTGGTTTCTGATTACACGCATTCTACCGATAATCTACCGATAATCTACCACCACGGGCACCCCCCTCGGTGGACTACCGACCATATTTCGTCGACAATATGCAACATCCAGATAAACATTTAGAATAGATGCTTGCAACATACGTGTATAGCCATTGCAAAATATGCAACATCCCGATTTACTTTTACAACATTCATATAAAACACTTACAACATACCTCTGAAAATTTCAAACGTACGTTTGAAACATACACTTGCAACGTGCTCTTTTAGCGTAACATCTCCTCGCTGCTCGAGAAAATGAAGCTTAGCTGCGCCGTCACCACCATGGACCAGCGCCACCTTGACTAGATCGACTCCACCTACCGCAAGGCCGCTGGAGACCTCTTCGTGGCCGCCGATACGCTGAGCTCCACACTGGACACGTAACCTCCGCAGCCGGCGTCGCAGCCCTGCCACCACTGGATCTCTCGCCGCCCAGTCGATCTGGTGGAAGGAAGACTGGTCGGAGGCCCAAGCGGGTTGAGGTGGGCGCTATGGGCATGGTCGCGGACGTGTTTGGCAAGGTGCGGTTGCGAGTGGAAAAGGCGCCAGCAGGGAGGCGATGTGGGGCGGGGGCACGCGGCGGGTCGTTCCGTCAGGACGGCAGGTCTAACCATTATGAAATAAAAAAAAGAGAAAGATCAAAATTCGGATTACAGAGCTCCGAAAGTCCGAAAGCTCGTTTTCGGAACCGTGGTCACCGCAGGGCCAAGCATCCACATCGTTCTCCGTTTACTTTAGCGTCGCTGTCAGCTGCTCTGCTCTGCACGAATTAGAAAGGAATGGAAGAAAAGCTTCAGAAGCCAGAGTAACCAGTTTCTTCTTCCTTCACTCATTTCACTTCTTTGTTTTCGGATTCAAGAAGGAATGCAATTAGGAGTACTTACATACAGTTTCACACACACCAAAGGAAAAAAGAAAGATAAAAGAAGGTTCAGAAAACCCCCAAAAACAATGAAGCCGTCGAGGGAGTCACTCCTCCAACCTGTCGTGCGTGAGATCGATTCCGTGTCCACGCGTCAAAGATCGAAGCTACGGTCTTTGACTGGACCCAGCGTCAACTGAATTTTTTGTTCCTTTTCTTATCGACTTCGAAGACACATTGATTTAGCAATTCTATTTTTAGAACTATTGATGAAGATACTCTAAGCTAAGCAGCATGATTTCTTTTTTTTTTTTTTGTTTGATGGATGGAACTGCAGCAGGTTGAGACTTGAGACGCCGAGGATCCCAAAATATGCAGGAGGCGTTTTCCCAGAAGCAGAGGAGAGAGAGAGAGAGAGGAAACCCAACCACTGACAGCAGGCATGATCACCGAGCTGGATCGTTTGTCCGTCCGTGTGCACACCACCAAATCACTCTGTCTGTCTTTGACCGTCTCTCCATGCAGATGCATCTCGATCTCTTTCAACAAGAGCCGACATCTCCATACATACATACATACCTATATAGTTAGTTACATACATACATACATACATGCATGCATGCATGCATACATCTCTAACCAACCCCCATGTTCTTTTATTTCTTTTATGTGATGATGATGATGATTCAGTTCAGTCACCCTGTTCCTGATCGCTGATGTTGAAATTTAGTTTAGGCTGACGTTTATATTGAAATATTGTTAGAGAAAAGTATTGTTTCATAGCTGAAAAGTAGCTCTAAATAAGTTCAAGCGAACAGGGCCGTGATTGCTGTGAGCTGAGCACGCACATGGAAAACGTTCCTTCGCATTCGCATAGCGCAACGCAACCAATATCTTCCATTATCCATCGTTGAGAAGAAAATCTGTATAATTAATTAATGGGATTGACCTTCAAAAAAAATTAATTAATCCGATTGGTTTCTAGTGGGATACGACTCTGATGATCCCGGAGACAGAGAGAGAGAGAGATGAATGAAGGGGGTACGGATAGATGGACATGCTGTCTCTCTTGATGGACTCCACAGATCCTCCGATACAGATGCAATGCAATTATGCAGACGACGGGGCGTCGTCTGTCGCTTCTTCGGTGTACATACATGTACTACTATGCAAGTTCCTCTCTAACCAACCAAACCGTCCACTTCTTGTTGTTGAACCTGAGGCCGTTTCTTGCTTTCCAGATATATACCAAATCAAAAAGAAAGAAAAAGAGAAAAAGATCTCCGAAAGTTCGTATATTCTGATGATCTTCGCACCTGTGATGTGGTCGCCACAGGGACAGACAAGCATCCACACCGTTCCGTTTTACGTAGCGTCACTGTCCGTTGCTCTGCTCTCCGTCAAACAGCAGGCAAGAGCTTCAGAATCCAGACCGCAAATGCACGCAGGCACGCACCAACAGACTAACCAAAACCAGTTTTCTTCGGTCAATCACTTCCCTTCTTCTTATTCGGATTCAAGAAGGAATGCAATTACAGCACAGTTTCGCACCGTAAAAAAAATGTTCAGAGAACCCCAAGAAACATGTGTACGTTTGCTCCTGTATGACTTTGATTCTTGTGCGTAATGATTCAAACGAACGAACAGAACCGAAACAAGAAGAAGAAAACAAATTCGACCTGCAAGCTCCTCCGATTCTGAATTTCTGATCCCCCGGTCGGTTTTCGTTTCGGTCTTTCGGGGGCGAATGGGAATCTGAGCTGACGTCGATCTCGACGCCTGAACTGAACTCTCTGCTACCTGCTGGCCTGCCCTGCTGGAACTCTCTCGACTGAGCTGGAGAACGCCGCGCAGAGCACGGCCAGCGCCAGCGCCGGGAGCTTCCCGGCGACGAGGCCGGCGAGGATGATCGGCACCAACGCGGGCAACGGCAATGCGCCCCCGCGTCGGCGGTGGCAGCGATCCTCGTCGTTGACGGTGATCGCCTCCAGTGGCGGCGCAGGCGTCTCCTCGGCCGGAGCAACAGCTGCTGCTGCGGGCTCCGCGTTGAGTCTCCTCGGCGTCTCCGGGTGCTCATGCTCGCCTGCCTCGCCGCCGTGACGGGAGTCCCTGCCCCGGGGCGTCTTACCGTTCCGCAACTTGTTGGCGAGTAGCTTTAGCTTCTGTAGCGACCTCCTGCTCTCTTTCGGATTATTCAGAGACGACGACGTGTCGTCGCAGCCGAGGTCACCGCTACCGGCGTCGGGAGAGCAGAGCGAGGCGGCGTCGCTGCCTCCGTTGTCGGACTCGCACTCGCCGCAGCTCAGCCTGGGCGACTCCGCCGCCTCGCGGATCGGCGAGACGGATCCGCGCCCGCGCCCGCAGCGCGAATCCACCTCTTCCTTCATCTTCGACCGCCGAGGACGAGCGCTCCTGATGGACTCGATCCACGATAGCGCCACCAACGCGAGCGTGGCCACGGCCACCAGCTGCTTGCTCCAGATCACCAGCAGCGCAAGCGCCACGGCGTCGCCGGCCGCGACGAGCCCCGACCGGATGCTGAAGGCCGTGCCTTTGACGGGGCGTGCCGGCACCGGTGCTCCTGCCGCTGCCACTGCCGTCGCCACGTCGTGATCCACCGAAAGCTCACGCCTTTGCTGGGGCACAACGAGCACCGGCTCCGTGGCAGCGGTGGGCGGCGGGTCGGCGCCGGGGGCGCGGTGCCGCCGTCTGGGGTTCCTGAGGCGGCCGTGGTTCTTGACGACGATGTCGGCGAGAGAGGTCGGGAAGCCGGTCTGCACTGGGAGCGGCCCCGCGCGGGCCGGCGGGAGCAGGGACGCCAGGAGGCGGCGCAGGCGGCCGCCGCCGGAGGACGGGCGCTTCAGCGCGCTCGTTGGCATCGCCGGCGAAGGCAGGCACCGGCGAGCATAGAAGGCCTGGCGTGAGTCGTCACGCGGCGAGGCTCTGCGCGTCCGCGTTCCTGGTGGAAGAGAAGAAGGAAAGTGGCGAGGAAATTCAGGTGGTGGGCTCTGGAGGTTTGCTGTTTTGCATTGGGTGTGCTGTTTTAAGGTGTCCGTTTCTTGTTGATTCTGCTTCGAGTTTGTGGCAGCTGCGTGAAGAAATCGAGGAGACCCTTTTTTATTAAAAATATCTTTGTTTATAAAAAAAATCATGCTGTTTGATTTGTATTACTAGCAATATGGAGATGTTATCAAGGGCACTAGCGGTGTATGGACCCAGCGTTCGTCCTTAGATGATCCACAAATGATTTGACATTATCTGTTTTATCAGCCACAGTGTATAGAAAGCCCTTATCTAGAATCCGGCTTGTTCGACTTTTTTTTTTTTAACCAGAATACTGTTTTTCTTTCAAAAAATTCAGCCAGAACAGTATTTTTTCAGCCAGTTTTAGCAAGCCGAACGGGCCCTAAAAATAGGACCTATAGGATAAAAAAAAATCTTTCTCTCAGCTCGTTGCCTTCGTTTGTCAAATTTTTTTTTTTCTATTCTATGGAACTGGGTTCCATTCTTCGGATCGGACCTAGATCTTCGTAAGAGCATCCACAATGTATAGATCCTGACTCTACAAAAGTATGTAGGGAGTGTTTGGCTCGCTGGCTTACCTGCTGGCCAGGCTCCACATAGCCAACTTGGGCTCCGGTTGTCTGAACATGACTCCAAGCCAGGCCCCAGCAAGTCACCCATGGGCAATTAGCTAGGTTTGTTTGTTCCCTGTCAGGCTTGAGCCAGCGCCCAGCGCCCCCTCACTCCACTCACCTCAACTTGCACGGGGGCGCCGCTCTTCCTCGCTGTCTGAACGCATCGCCGCCTCCACTTCCTCCTCGCTCTCGCCTCGCTAATACCTCCATCTTCTCCGTGCTCGAGTCGCTCCCCGCCGGCCGCGTGGGGCAAGGACGACCACGTGGGTGAGGAGGTGCCACCGGCCAGCGTCATCCACCTCGCCTGGAGCCGCAACTGGCCGTCTGCTCCTCTCGTGGTCGTTGCGTCGATAGGCACCTCACGGCGAATCTCGTGATAGGGCACCTCACGGCACTATCGAGAGATTAACTCCTTTGCTTGCACTTCTCTGCTTGTTCTTCTCTTGTTATGATAGATGGATTTTACGACGAGATGAACAGAGAAGATGAAGGTGATGGAGGTAAGGTCACCGTTGTATAGAAGAGGTAACAACACCAAATAATTCAGGGAACCAAACAAAAACTAGCTTATCCGGGCTTAGCTAGCACATGGCAACCAAACACCACCAGGTTGGATTGACTTGGACAGGCTATCTCAAGCCTGGTTTATTTTCTTAGCCAGGCTTGCTGGAGAAACGCAACCAAACACACCCTTAATATATAGGACCAGCTTCGAGCCGCCCACTGTGCGGGGCGCTCTAAAGGTGAGATTTGGGAGTAGGATTTGAAATCTTCTTTACGGAAATTCCGGGTCAAAATATAATTTTTGCAAGGATGTGTCTATATGTCACCCGAGTGACTCATCACTTGATTTTTTTCTCCTCCCAACGTATCACTGTTCATCTTCCTCCTTGCCCCCACTCCCCACCGCCCACTGCCTCGCCGCGGCCGCGCTAGGGTTTTCATCGGATCTCTGTGGGCGCGGCGGCCTCCTTTCCCTCCCCCTTCCTTCTTCCACGGCGAGCTCCAGCCATGGAGCTCCCCTGCCCTGACCTAGCCTGGCCGCCGTCAGGCCCCTAAACCGCCCTGCCACCGTCCCCACCGCATGCCCATCCTACCTCCCACGAGCTCCTTCTAAGGCTGCCGAACTTGGAGAAGAAGGCCACGTGGCGTCCTTAGATTGGGTATAAAAATTCGAGTGGGGAAATGCTCAAATCACACGAGTGAGCTTTAGCTTTTACCTTTTGCAGCAGGTAACAATAATGTGTATATGAGTCTATCATGACTAAACACTCTTCATATATTGTGGTTGGGTCAAAATAATGCTATGTTGTGGCTGGTGTGCTTGGCCGGTTAAGTCACATTCGTGTAATCAATTGGTGTGGCCAAATTGCGTGCCAGAGATACGTAGCTTGAAGGGTGCTTTTGCAATAGAAATGTTAATTTCGACATTAATAAGGATAATCTACCCCTGGAAGATGATCATAATTACTGAAAAGGATACATATCTCTCCAAGTTGTATCATTGCATATTTAAAACATGTGGTTAGCTGGTGTATGAATCATATTTTGATGCCAAGCACACATCAGGCATTAATAAAAACAATTCTCCTAAATAAAGTTACTACATATTGTTTTTACATTTTACATGGATTTTAGAGAGAGAAAAAGAATCAATCGTGTCAACAACTTGTGAGTTCGTGGTCTTCGTCGGTTATGTGTCTCGTTGACCAAAGACGTGACTTGTGAGTAAGGACCAGCATGCCCAAAGCATTCCGCATCTATTGTAGTTAGGTCCACTCAGGAGGAAAAGGGGCAACGAAAGCAGAGTTTCCTTTAGCCTGTGCTTTGATATATTCTCTCTGTCCTCAAAGATTATAATTCCAGATTTAGAATAAGTCAAAACATTTTAAGTTTGATTATTGACTTTATAGAAAAATAATATCAACATTCATGTCTGCAAATAGGTTTGTTATGAAATTCCATAATTAATCCAGTGATACTTATCTCATATCATTGATGTTAGTATTTTCTTGTATAGATTTGGACAAACTTAAATTTGTTTAACTCCTTAAAAAGAGTTTTTTTGGTAATCTAAAGTAATTTATAGAGATTTTTTTGGTATGCGAATTTTCACATATCAAATAATCTAAAGTAATTTATATAGTAATTTATATATAGTTTTTTTGGTAATCTAAAGTAAATTATTTAGTAATTTGTTTAACTAGTCTGAGAGTAGTTAAACAACCGCCAGTGTGTTAGTGCTTGGCGGGTGTTTGGCGTGTGGCCAAGTGCTACTGAATTCATAAAAGAGATGAGGAAGGAACCATCAAACGCTTCTGAATGCCATGATAATTTCACTCGACTTATTGTACCACAATCCCCACAAAGCATAATACCCCTTTTGTGATGTAATTCTAAAATATTGCTAGATCAAATAATCTAAAGTAATTTATATAGAAATATACTCATATTTATTACACTAAATAAATTTTATTAGATTCGTAATGACACAATATATCTATTTGGATTCATACGTGTTAATAGAGTTTGACTTTTAACTAGACCTAGAATTGCATCTTTTTGAGACAGAGGTCGCAAGTATTTGCCCCGTTCGCTTGGCTGATAAGCTATGGCTGAAAGTACTGTTGATTGATTTGTTGTGAGAGAAAAATACTGTTCGTTAGCTAAAAAAGTACGACTTATAAGCTTATAAGCCAAACGAACAGGACAATTATGTCTTGGTGAGAAATTAACCTCTAGGCTGAGGCTCATTTTCTTTTTAACGCTTTTTTGTATCTTGGATTCTTTCTTTCTTAGCCTCCTCTTTTCTCTCAGTTTCCTCAGTTTTTCTGTTTCAGTTGTAACACTGTTCTTCCTTGTTGTTTTTTAATCTATATAAAATAAATTTCACTGTAGGGGTGAAAGCCCCTCTGGATTTCTCAAAAAGAAGAAGAAGAAAAAACCAGAGTGAAAATTGACCTCATGCTGCCCATTTTGCGTGCCCTTCTCCTCAGGCCAACCATGCGGATCACAACACACAACACACAACACTGGCTTATATATAAGATAAGAGGTGCTTGTTTCTTTTTAATACAAAAAGAAAAGGAAGAAGAAGGTTGTCCCAGCATCCAGCTTGCAGCAACCCAATTGGCGTCTCGGCTCGTCTGCCAACCCAATCGCAATTGCCAACTGCAGCTGGAGAGCAACAACAGATCGAGAGGTGTGGCCGGCCAAGGCCTGCGCGTTGTCAGGTCACACCAAGTGTCAGCCGCCTCGTGCCCTCCTAGGGGATGTATGGTTACCGACCTTACCCAGCCACACTCCATTTGTGATACCGCCACAACCGTGGCGAAGATTTCCGGCGCCGCAACCGTGGCAGAGATTTTTACAGAGGAAAAGGTTGTGACTGCAAACACTAGTGCCAACCAAAGAGCAGGAGTAATAGCTGTGACAGCTTTGGTTGTGGCGGTGGTGGATGGTGGCTGCCAACCAAACACCCCCTAGTCTTTTCTTGGAAACAAGTGTCGGGTGTCTTAGCTTTGTATCCTGCTGGTCCCATGAAAGAACAGATTGATCTATCTAACCAAGTTAACTGGCCAATTACATCTATGTTATTATATAACTGTCATGAAATATACCACTATTATAAGGTGATTTACTCGTGCGGCTAGGGGTATATTTCATCTAGCCCGTAGAGTGCACGAAGACAAAATGGTATATTCCAGGTACAGAACGTATTATACCGAGTAGTAGTGCATATCTCCGAACCACATGACACACTTACAATGGCGTAGATCGATCCAACCTTTGTGCCAAAAAAAGATTCATGATATCAAACTTAACAAAGTTAAACTTGATGTATTTATATTTAATTTGTGATTCGACGAAGCAGTACATTTTTACAGTAACATCGCCGCATTTTCATCTGTTGTACCTACTCCGACAGACGACCACTCTTCTGTGGAACAGTTCAATGCCGTCGTAACTTAACTTCAACTGCTGGACACTCACACATGGGCGCCGTTCATATAATAAAGCCGACAGAAACAGTCACATATACGCTGGATTCCGTTTGTCCCAGGCTTTTGCATGCTCACCATCTGTAGCTTTGTTTTCAGGACATGTGTGACCCAGATTTGACTGAAATTCCAGCAACTTTTGGAACTTTTCCACCATCTCAAAAGCCCGGGATATACTCCACCTGTGGCCATTTTTTCATCATTACGCCCTTCTCTTCTCGATCGTCTTTCGTTTTCTCC